TAATTAATGGTTTTAACAAGACACTGGCAGATAGTTCTATTACCCATTAACTAAATCAGTAATATTATTACTCCTGATAAGTAAGGATGTTTTGTATCAAACCGCAGTAAAATCATAATTGTGGGTGCATGTATTCAGGTTCATCACTAGTTGTTAGGTGTATTACCTCGAACCAATCCTTTGGATATTTGATTCATATTTATGGGATGTTGGAGCAGTGGTAGGGCAAAAGGCAGTCGGCGAATGGCAAGGGGCAGTCGGCAAATGTAAGGGCAGTTGGTCATATTATAATTTGTTGTAGTCATATTATAATTTGTTGTAATTCAAATTTCTGCTCATTTAATTGCAACTTTTCTACACAAAGGACATGGGATCCTATTAATAAATGACAAGGGAGCCTACTGTAATTTCCATTTGAGGCAAATCTGTGGTTGATGCTTATTAAAGCAAGAAAATATTGGAATTTTTTTATAAAGTCTCAACATAAAATAATCAATCAGATTTACTGTTGAAGTCTCTTGTATTTGGAGGTTTTAGTATATGCACACGTTACATAAAAAGGGCACTTCAGCCCCCTTAGAAAAGAGCAGGAGGGGCAAATGCCCCCCTCTCTGGCTTCCCTATAAGAAACTAATATATTTTCTCTCTATTCATCACAATTTATACCTTTTAGTTTTGCAATAGCTACTAGCTGTGTTTCCATATCCTATTAGGTATCTCCATAAGGCTACCTAATGCTGTGTCATGTGTATCTGGTTAACACATGTTTAACTTGTGAGTTGTGTGGTCAGGAGGATACATCATACATGTGAAGATTTCGGTTTAAAAATTATATAAACTGACAAAGTATAATCATATAATGTAAAACAGCCTGATTCAAGCATGTGGTGAAATCACACGATATTAAATTGAAATAAAGTTTACTGTAATTGACATAAAAAGGCAAACGTACAACTATAATTTATAAAAAGACAACATATTGGTATCGTTTTTAAAATAGGCCTATCAGTATGTCTCGTCTTTGTTCACGAAATTATGTGCCGGTGGATAAAACTATCCAACTACTTGCTGACAACACGGACATGGATTAATGTATTTCGTCTTGGGTGCAGCTGTAGATAAACATTCTATAAAGTGAAATAGACATAATATATACTACATCGTGTTTTTATGCAATATTAGCGAATTTATCTCGAACGCTTGCCGCTTGGTGCTGGACCGCTGGTAGAATCTTCGATAAAACATCTGTGTAAATCGAGGTGTGAATGTGATAGCCTACCTGAAAATATATAGACAAAACTTCGACGTTTCGAGGGAACGCCAGATAGTCTATCACATTCACACAGAAGTTTAGCGAATTTAACAACGTGACAAACAATACAATACTTGCTTTTAATAAGCCACAAAAAGTGCGTTGCCGTTTTACATCTTTACGCTATTCATTATTAAATGATACTTACATTGCATACACAGAACGATTTATTAATACATTCAAGTTTAGAAACAAAGACTCGGGTATTCTCAGCTATATTTTTGCTCAATTTCTTTGCCAGTTGCTTGTTCATGATCTTACAAATAAACCGGAAGTTCAAAGGTAAATGTTGACAATCTCTGGCTTCCTATTGGTTTGCTACCTTCGCTACCCAATTAGTACTCTGACCAATAGAAAACAATCTTATTCAAGCTGCTACATTACCGAAGACAATAGGATGGAATGATATATGGTGGATTTCAATCATTTGGATTCTCGCACTTTACTTGGTGGAATTAATATTGAAATGTTAGGGTTTGTAATCCAAGTGAGAATATATACATTTTAAGACCTAACCAGGAACGACTTCGAAAAGTGCGGCACAAGGTCCTCTGGTAGGAATTGAACCTACGGCCCTGCGATTCCGGTGCAGCGCTCTAAGCAACTGAGCTACAGAGGCCAGTTGTTGAGCTGTAACCGTAAGTTCATGTATATATATATATATATAGGTAATCGGGTGTGCGGGTTGTGATAAGGTGGACTTCAATAATTTAGATTCTTGCACTTCACTTGGTGGAATTAATATTAGAATGTTAGGGTTTGTAATCCAAGTTAGAATATACACATTTTAAGACCTAACCAGGAACGACTTCGAAAAATGCAGCGCAAGGTCCTCTGGTAGGAATTGAACCTACGGGCATGCGATTCCGGTGCAGCGCTCTAACCAACTGAGCTACAGAGGCCAGTTGTTGAGCTGTAACCGTAAGTTCATGTATATAGAAAGGTAATCGGGTGTGCGGGTTGTGATAAGGTGGACTTCAATAATTTTGATTACAGCTCAACAGCTGGCCTCTGTAGTTACAGCTCTGTAGTTACTGGGCTTAGATTAGATTAGATTAGATTAGATTAGAGACTTTATTTCAAGAGGGTAACACTTGACATTAATAAAAATGATAAACCTGTGGCCCTTCATATTCCTAATTACAAAATATACACCCAATGAACTATACTGAATAGACAATGCTAAACTATTTACATTTAGTAGGTAATTATACTCATGCTATATTTACATTATACTAAGAATATTTAAGATAAAATAAGTCAAAGAGCTAGAAAAGATTCAAAAGTAAGCGTCTCTCGCTGCTTTGTTAAAAAGTATTTAAGAAAGTTTCTTTTAAAAATACTTGGACTATGACTTTTCTTTAAGTCACTGGTAATACTGTTCCAAGCCTTGATAGTCTTAACAGTAAACGTACGCCC